AGCGGTCCTTCATCATTGGTGCTTTCATTGAGAGGTGCTGATCGTGTTTTTATTTATTCTATCTTTTTCTTTTTTCGGTTTGCCTTTTGCTGAGGGGCCGAATTTCTCTTCTTTTTTTGGGTCTAAATTTTCGAATTTATTCGAATTTTTCATTAAAAAAAAAAGTGTCATCTTGTTAGTCCTTTGTTTGAATTTTTGTTCGGTGATTACCTTTTGTTGAGGGGCCGAATTTCTCTTGTTTTATTTTTTATTTTTTTGGTTCGATTTTTTTCGAATCTTTAGAGTCAAAAAAAAAAAGAGACGATGTTGTTCGAGCCATTAGTTAAGTGGGATTGGGAGGATCTCGAATACCTTGAAAATTTGGAGAGGGAATTAACCCCTTGGGAGCAAGAATACTTGGAGGAGATGTACGAGCAAAAGGAGGAGTATGAAAGACAACTCAAGATCATGAAGGAAGAGCAACAAGCCGAGGCCGATGAGAAGTTCCAGGGATCGTACGAGCAAGAAGCCGAGTGCAAGGGTATCGAGATCGACGATGAACCCATGTTCTCGTTTGAGTTTGCGGGGATTCTCGACGAGGAGACCATATTTTTGTCCGATGTTGTGGGCTATGCAAAGGATGAGGAACTCAAGGTCGTCGAGATAATTGGTGGCGCGATCGAGCGCGCGAATGACATCGACGGCGAGGCCAAAGAAGCCGAGGTAATCAAGGTCGAGGAGGACCATGGGCGTAAGTCGTACATGATGATCGAAGTGGTTGCCGAGAGCAAAGTCATGGTCGAGATCGAAGAAGATGTGCTCGATGTTTGGAGGGTCGAGGATGAATCCTTGAGGACAAGGAAAGTCTCGAAGAGGAGGGGAATGATACGGAAGTGGGTTCCGAGCCCCGACGACAAGAAGACCCAAGAGGCGAGACGATCCGATGAGGCTGGGAAAAGGGCCAAAACGACGCATGCATGGCCTAAAAGACGGGTACGAGCTCGTATGCGGGACACTCAAGCACATGAAAAGCGGCACGTACAAGGCAAAAGACAAAGGCGCGCACACGCACAATGGCGTAGACGTGCATGGCGTTTGGAGATTAGGCGAAGTGGCGCGCATGGGGAGGTTGTTGGGTGGATGGCGCGCGAGGGGGATTGCTATGGGCCAATGAACGCAGGTGCGAGCCAGCAGCGCGCATCGGGACTTGATGCGCGCAATTGGTCCAGTGATCGAGCAAGAGATACGCGGGCGATTGGTGCACGGGTCGAGGAACGCGATGAGGAGCGCACGCGGGTAGCGCTGGGAGTACGAGGGTGCACGGCAGTCGAGCAGGCCGCGGGCGTTAGCGGTACGCGCAAAGTAGTGGACGACAGGCGTGCGGGATGCGCTGGGCGCGCGGTTGGCAGGTACGCGAGGGGAGGCCCAGACAAAGAAGGAGTAGGAGTGTCGGGTGCAACGCGCGGGGCGTTGAAGCACAACGCGGGCAGGATTGAAAGGGGCGACGTGCGCGACAAGCGCGCGATAGACACGGACGCGCCAGCAAGCGTGCAGGCAGCTGGCGAGCGCGATAGCGCACGCGTGAGAGACGGACGCCCGGAAGTCCT